AGACAATGCTACTCAAATGAATCAAGTACTGTATTAATAGCGAATATTGTTTATCCGTGTACAGTTATTTCTAACGAGCTGACATGTAATCAATAGGGTTTTCAAAGGCTTTGCCTATTATTTTTATCAAATAAACTGAAATAAACTGAAAACTGGCTTTTCCGCTCTTGCTTTCTCCTCCGCACGCGATTTCGCCTTTTTCAGTCTCTCATAGGTTATTCCTATTTTCTCAGCCTGGTTTTCGTGACCACAACAGAAATGATGTTCCCCCAGCTCTTCCCTCAGACAAAAAATTTCGATCATATTGGTGTGCACGTTGTAAATGGCTTTCGTTACAACAGTCAGTCCCCTCGGCTGGGCTCGAAGCGCGCTGTGGTCAATCGCGTGTGGGTTCCTCTCGTCTGGCCACTTTGACGCGAAAAGTCTCATTTGGCGTATAAATTCTACCCTGACGATGTCCGTTCTGAATCCCGTATACAATACCACATTCAGACCAGTCCTTTTCGACCCGCGCACGCACCCCTCAAGGCTGACATTTATTTCTGCCCTGGCGATGTCCGATTATAATTTGTTATATACCGCTACATGCAGGCCATTCCTGCCCGCATTTTTGTGTTATTATGATCGACGGTTTTTCTTCTCCTGTAAAGTTAATCCTATCATTTTCAAATGTTTAAGTGGAGTTTGTTTCACTTCCCGCTCATCATTTTTCTTAACGGACTACAAATTCAGAAACCATGAGTTGCACTTTGTAAAGACTCTATCTACCTCGTCTAAAATTCATATGGAAATTTATTTTTACTTTCCTTGATCGGACACCGACGGGTCTTTAATAAAAATCATCTATGCATTTATTTAATTCCGTCCGGACCACTGAAATTTCGCGTCCTCACGCCCATTGTCAGTCTCACTCAAGGTCTGTCACAACTTAGCACCGCATACACACTTTAATAAGGCTCGTTCTAATCTGCTGGTCTGTCATCAGAATGAACATACCCTGCTTCTTCATGCCCCGTCGTAAAGCAGCCCCGCCGTCGGCATTGGTTTCCATGCCCTCTTAAGCTAAATAGAAAAAAATCAATAAACACGTTTTTGTACGGGACGCACAGTCGTGTAAACACTTGCCAAGACGCTTTCGTGACGACTAGATGGCAGACCATGAGAAAGTCGACTCTGTGTTAATATTTACGCCCGGATGGTGGCTGTCGGTGGATAGCCAGGGAAAGCTTTTTCTTGCTGCTTTTGGAGGTCTGTACGTCATTGGAATGCTCATACTGGCAGATGCTCTTCTCGAAGACACAATGGTCGACATTCAGTTCAGACTGAAGGCTTTTGAACACAAACGACTGGGCTATATGATTTCACAGCCGGTTAATTACACGGCCATTGTAAGTAAGCGGCATAAGCGATGCAAGTTTTCAGATTTTATACTTAATCACTCTACTTGAAATTAGTTTGCGTTAGAAACATGTGGATAAACGCTCTAAGTCCACTTTCGAAGCTTAGACAATCATAAATTAACTAAAGATCACCTATCTACTGAAGCACTTAAGTTTGCACTCCATGAGTCCTAGTATGGAATCGTTGGTTGGCCTGTGACATCATGATTGTAACAGATGTAACCTGACTACTTCATACATAAGACATTTGCATCGACTACTTCCCTTTATTATCGAAGACGCTTAAGGGTTTTAGATAAAACAACGGGGAACGTTTCAAAAAGGACCAGTTTCCTCAACAATAAAAAGCGTAAATTATGTGTCCAATCGAACTTCACAGAAATATTTCTAAAAGGGATTTCAATTTATACTCTGTGATACTTCCCGCATTCTGCAAAATATTGTCTATACCATCAGAGCGCTGGTGATATTCAACGTAAGTGTGGCATACGCCCATTCCTCCTGAGTAGACTTTCAGGAGCGCTAGACACTAAAACGGCAGCTGACATTTCCATGCCCTTCGTAAAACCTTATGTCCAGATGTAAATCCAGCCGGACTTTTCTTTTTTTCTGGCGACGCCTCCGCCTTTGCTGTTGTGATGTTCCTCCAGCGATGTTGAATTTAAGTGTCTGTTTTATTTTGTAGTCGCGGCTGATATTAGTCAGTCTTAGGCAATTTCTGAAGGACAATTGAAAAAAATTAACATCTGTCATTTCACTTGGATCTGAAATTAAAATGTGCGCAAATTTACCACCATAGAACTATTCAATCGCGTTCTTTGTCTATGATTGTATATCGTCTAATCCGTTGTGTCTGTCTGAAGAGACAGCGTTCCGAATATCTACTTGAGGCTAATCCGAAAGACTCAATGCTGCCAGTACAATAGACGGGCACAATTTTAGCATTTTGATCACAAGGGAAAACTGTTATTTTCAATGTCATTAAAAATACTTCATTCAGATGAAGATCATTTCACTTGGACAGCAGGGATAGGATTTGACGGTTCTATTGATGTGTACTTCGGTTGAGGATTGCGAACAAGAGGAGGCGGGAGGATACGAACAGAATAGGTCGTAGCGTTGAGTAATTTACCACCTCCACAGACATTTGTAGTAAGTTGGTGTTAACTTGGACATTAAGGCATTGTGGAATCACGGATAATATAGGTAGTGGGGGAGAATAATATCAATAACAAAGAAGGGTCCCATCATGAAACAAAAGCACTGTCATCGTGTGTCTATAGGTGGTACCGATCTGTAGAATAGTATCGGGTAACCGTAGTTATAGGGTGTCCCATGTGAAGCCGGTCGAGATAGTCTATTTCACAACCACAAATATCTCTTAGATAGACTCTCCCCAAAATATGTGAGGCATGGAACTTCTTGTGTTTAAAAGCGTAGTTACATGCCGCTAAATGGTAAGTGTCAAAGCGGCGAGTTTCGAGTCAAAGCATACGAAAGCGGTGTCCATTTGACATAACAAATGAAGCGAGGCCTGTGGAAACATACGTGTTTGCCTTATAGACCATCAGAAAATACGGCAGAGGGATGTCTGAATTATGGGGACTGTGGTGTCCTGAAAAAGCTTACATGAGGCTGGACGAACTAGGGTTAGTATGGTCTGTCTGGTTATTGTTTCCGGTTCGCGCCAATGCTGCCCGTTTCCAGTTAGTTAGGAGAAGGCCGCCAAAGTCCATCAGTATACTGCATTTAAAATTTGCTTTAAAGCCGACATGTAAATTGACGGGGCTCCAAACCGACGAATCCATACTTAGAGCAGTGAGGTTGTAATGAAATCGGCGTCCTGCCTGCATACGGCAACGACCTCTGTCCATCTCGAGATAAAGCGGACAACAGAATATAGCGGTTGCTGGTAGGTGAGTATGGTCACGGTCTAACGATGTCAGTACCTTATAGGTATTATTTTCAAGAGTGATATACGTTGAAGACATGCCAAGACTAGGAGTTGGTACATCCTCAATAATGTGTTTTGTGCCTGATAGGTATTGGCATGCAAAGTAGCATGTTTGCAATATCTCTTGTCATACTATCGGCTAATCCTTAACATCCTTCATGTTTAACTTTCAGTGGAGCGCTTCATGATGTGAGTGATTAATAGCGACATCTGTTGGCATGATAGGGCTAAAACTGCTTGGCGAATGTTATCCATTCCGGCGGTTCAGGGCAAGAAGCACAGTATTTTTGTAACAGATTTAGAAAGTTTGTATGTTAGGCCAATTGGACAGTCGGGGCCCTACGCAACATACTGTAGAAGAATTCCACTTAAGGCAAACCCATTAGCATCGCCACTGATTGCGAAAGCGGCATCGGTTTGCGTGTGTTGTGTAATCAGAATAAGTGCAGTGACGGTTTGTAAATGCAAATAGACATTCGTCGGTTTACTTAAATAACCATTCTCTCTCTGTCTAATATACATCTTAAAAAACGTCTGGTGACTAATTTAACCTTACAGAGAACGATTTCAGTCGGCTACTGGAAATGCGAGAGCAGTACAACTATGGACAGACTACTATCAGCCAAGCGTACCTCCAGCAGCTTTGCAATAATCCAGTCAAAACTGAAAGTTGCAGACGAACTTTACGGGGAATGTCAACAGAGGGCTTTTCGAGGAACTCCACTAATGGAATCAGCCAATCTTTTGCTTCAGGTCGGTTGCGTGCTGCTAACATATTCCTTCTTTGTAATTATTCTGAGACGGCATCTATTTATCACGATTGTTTCAGTGGCTTCGGCGCTTATATCCCTTTCTCTTCTTCAGTTTTACTTTGCTTTGTTTGAGCAAGCAGGATGTCTCGTTAATAAGCAGGAAAAACGGACGTATGAGGGTAAAGTCCAAAATCTTTGGCGAGGTGTTCTTTTCGAAGTCACGCTTCACGCCACCGGAAGCTCATCTAAGAGCTTTACTTTTGCCGTCCTTTTTTGTTTTCTGCCCTTGATGGGACTTGGTTATGTCAGTTACTTCTTCTTAACAGGTGCTTTGTAAGCTCTCCTCGAGAAGTGGTAAGGTCCACCTAGGACGCCTTCAAAAAAGTGCTTGATGAGACAGTATTCCAGGAATTCTATTTAAATTTAATTCACTTTCACCCCTGACTTGTGTTTGTCTATATTATATGGGTTTGACTCGAATAACAGGTGTCAATGTACATTCACAATATATGCATTCCGTGTTGATAAAATGAAATATAAAAGAGGTTCTTCGGAAAATCCAGTTGTACTCGTGAATGTTCGAGCTGGTGACACCAACCCGTCGTCAGACGAAATGAAAACAAGGGAGAAAGTTAGGTTGTCACAGTAGACCAGTTAGTATGATAGGACAGGCAGACCACTGGCGTGTGAGAGGCGCTCCCGAAGTCAAGGTAGGTCCCTGAGTGAGGGGGGTGGGGAAGGGAGAGGAGGCGGAACAACTACGGCACATTGTGATGGAGGGGGAGGGTGGGTGGTGTTGCTCCTTGGGGATGGGATCCTTCACTCGAGATAGTGCTGCGCGTAGTGAAGTTGCCGGTTTGCGTAGAACTTCTGAAATAATCGCCGGCAGTTCACTCGCTCGGGTATTCACGTTGCCCACAAACCGGCAGCTTCACTACGCGCAGCACTATCTCGAGTGAAGGATCCCATCCCTAAAGAGCAACAAACGAATGTAATTTATCGCATTCCGTGCGCTAACTGCTCTTGCGTGTATGTTGGCCATACGAGTCGACGCCTAGGCACCGGTAGCAATGAACACAAAGTAGCTATCCGTCGGCGAGACCCTCCGTCCCTCGTTTTTACCCATGCACTCGAGTACGACCAACGATTAAATTGGGATGGCACTGAAGTCGTCACCGTGGCTATCACAAAGCGAGCGAGGGAATTTTTCGAGGCTTGGTACTCCAATGCGGGTAGTATCAACCGCCACGTTGACATAGATGCCCATTAGGAGGGTCTACGTTCACGACTGACTGCCCCCTGCCCTAATCACGCACCGAGGACCGCGAATACAGCCGCCCGCAGTCCAACTGATTCACCACCCACCCTCATCCTCTATCACAGTGTGCCGCATTTGTTCCGCCTCCAATCCATTCTCCACCCCCCTCACTCAGGGACCTACCTTGACCTCGGAAGCCCCCCTCACACGTCAGTGGTCTGCCTGCCCTATCATACTAACTGGTCTACTGTGACCTACTGTGCTTTCATCTAGCCAATCATAACCCATATATATATCAATATGCGTGAAGATTCGAGGTCCAGATATATATATATATATATCGTATTTGTCATCCCCCAAGGAAGATGAAGAAGAGAAGGTGATTTCATGGACTAGAGTATATTCAAACTGACGTTTCGGAAACACTCTCGTTTCCATCATCAGAGTCGGTCGCTGGCGTTTCCTGCTGGCCTTGATTTGTTCAGCCTTGTCGCCTGCCTCGTATTATAACCGTGCCCGGCGCACGCACGTTGGTTAGCCTGTTTTCCGTTGGCCGATTGTGGCCTCTGATCCCAGCCATTGGCGGACTGGCGTGCCTTGTGTCTCCCTCATGCCTGACGTGGTTGCCGCTGCGTCGGCGTGCTCGTTGGCCTCCCCCTCGTCAGACGGCGGGCTGATCGATTTTCGCTCCTCAGGCATGGTCTTTCCGCCCTCGCCAGTACGTCCGTGAGATAGCGTGCCACGCCGGTCACGTGACTTTCGGTCAGCGCCTTCCCTCTCCGCCAGCGTCGGTAGTCGACCCCGTGTGATTCCTTTAATCCGTGCCATAGGCCTTGCCTGGATCGACTCGAGCCTCGCGCGAAGCGCCTGATAGGCGGGATGTAGGTCTATGGCCCGGTTGAGGGTGCCAGTTGAGGACCAACTTTCCAGCATCAGTCTGGCCATTTTGTCATTGGCTCGACCGACCACCCGCGTTTTCTCGAAAGCGAAATTGTGGTTCCGTTCCAGCGTGTGGCCATACACCAACGACAACTTATCCTTGCGGTTAATTGCAAGCTGATGCTCATGCAATCTTGTGCCGAGGCGTTTCCCCGTTTCACCAACATACCTTGCATCACAATCTTGGCATGGTATGCTGTAAACCACCGCTGATTATTCTGTCACCGGCAGCGGGTCTTTGGGCCTCATTAACTGCTGTCTGATTGTTGATGCTGGTTTATGGGCCACACCGATTCCAAAAGGTTTCAGAATTCTTGAAGTCGCCTCTGAAACATTCTTCACATAGGGGATCGAGAGCCAGAGCTTTGGTTTCTCTTCGTTCGACCGCCCAGAGAGGGACTTCCTGAAACACTTGCGTATGAACGACTTTGGGTAACTGTTGGCTTCAAATAGGGCCAGTCGACTCTGACCGCGCCCGAGCTGGAATCCTTGAGGGCGGCAATCCTCAATGGAGCACAGCGTCACCGAAAGCTACGCGATGGTCAACTGTCAGAGAAATTCAGTAAATTATGTCCGCCGAAACAGCCCTCCTCTGATGGGATCCTGGTTCACAACCTATCCTCGCATCGTCTCACGCAACAACAGCTAGCGGTTTTGTCCTCTGACACCAAGTTAAGCACAAGAGATGCTCGACCAGAAAACTTCATCGCATCCTTCGAATCAGCGCTCCAGAAGTGCGAGTCAGATGAAGAACGCAAACACGCCATGCGGCAACAGGTGTCGTCCTTGCTTCTCCAGCACAAACCCCAAATGATGATTTCCGAAGCTGAAGAACGAGAACTTTTCAACATACGAAGAATTAAGAATATCGTCACCCTGCCTGCTGACAAGGGGCGCTCGACGGTCGTCATGGATAAGACCGAATATTGGACTAAACCGGAGAACTTGTTGATGGACACGGAATCTTATGCGCTTTCGAATGCCAGCGAGTTCAAAAAGCTTGTGAACAGCATAAACAAGACGGTAGGGAGGTTAAAGAAAACGAACGCCCTCACGAGAAGAGAGGCCCTGTCCGCGAAAGCCACTGACACCGCGATGGCACGCTTCCACGGCCTGCCCAAGATACACAAGCCAGGAGTACCCCTCCGCCCAATCGTCTCTCTGCGTGGCACCCCAACCTTTGGACTGTCAAAGTGGCTATACCAGCGACTGTATTTCCTCATCAAGGACTCGGAGTGGACGGTGAAGTCAGCTGAAGAGTTTTTGACTCGCATCCGACATCGTAGAGTGGAGGCAGACGAGGTGATGATGTCCTTTGACGTGGTCTCACTGTTCACTTCTATCCCACCTGACCTGGCCATCGACACTCTCGACGGACTTCTCCGAGAAAAATACGACGAGACCGACCAACAGCTTATAAGAGTGCATATCACTCGCTAAAACTGCCCCCCCCCCTCTCGCGCGTAGATGGTGCCTGACGGCCTCGCATGACGTTGGCAAATCGAAGTATCGATGCAAAGGACCGAGAAAAGGTCAATCCATTAAAACGTCATAGAAAATACTGATTACACAGGACGATAGCCGTTCATGGCAAGTATTGAAATAGCATTCAATGAGGTAAAATACTTGAGTGGTAGTAAAAGTCCAGTGTAGAATCCCCAACGCGTTGGGACCCTCTGAATTTTTAGCTGTCTCATAGGGTATATGACATGTATGTGCTCTGGGTATTTCGAAAGTAAAACAACAACTCAGGGTATGAGAACGAGGGAGTGTGTTACTCAGCGGTCCCACGGTTTGCAGCATATGTGTGTCATAAAACAGAAAAATACATAAAAAAGAAGAACCAAATATAACCACTAGGCGCAGCGCAGACAACCATCAGTTATCCGCTTGTCGATGAGCCCACCAGTTAGGTTGCATTTAGAAGGACAAACTCTGACCTTACCAGCTCGGTTATGGATTAACCGAGGAGGGGGTTTTAAAGGCTGTGAAGAATATCGTTGTCAATAAAAGCAAGGATTCCGGGACGAAGGGGTAAACTATACATGGAACACCTTGGTTAGAATAAAAACTGTAAAGTGAAGCAGATCTTAAATTTGGAAAAACCATTTTAAGACCCGCATTTCCAGTATTAGTCAGTCAGTATATTTGGAGTAAACGACAGAAGCCCTGAAAACTCCATTTCCAGGGTACAGATATAAGGGAAAATAGTTAAATTGCAAAACTTTTGCTTGCAGTTTTAGTAAGGAGAATTCATAAATCTAATAGTGCAACATAAAGGCGCAAGGGGTATTTTATTCGCGAAATAATTGCGAAAAACTTTGTTCACCGCATTCGGACTGTGAAAATTTCAATATGGGCTCAGTCTGACGCACAAAATAGGATCTGTCGAAATTTTGTTAGTAGTATATTTACAGTCATTTCAGTAATCCGTTAGATCAGGCTTCGGCAGTTCGGGTTGCCTTTCAGCAGGTGAGTATCCAGGTGTCTCTTAAACACACTCACGGTTGGGGAATTAACAACAAATTCCGGCAAAGAGTTCCATTGCCGAATGACCCTCTGTGAGAAAAAGGAGGAACGTTGATTTGTGTGGCACAGTTCCCTTTTAAGCTGTAATCATGTCGTCTGAGATTGGACTTGGGTGCCATTTCAAGAAACGTTCCCCAGTCGACATCCAGATTAAACCCTTTTACTAACTGGAACGTTGCTATGAGGTCACCTCTGTCCTGCCTGTAGTGGAGGGGATAGAGGTTCAAGGCCATCCGGCGCTGCTCGTACGTGAAGTTTTTGAGGTCACGAACAGCCTTTGTAGCACGCCGTTATACACTTTCAAGGATATCTATATTCTTCCGAAGCCACGGCCGCCAAGCCTGTGCCGCATATTCCAGGTGCGGCCGCACAAATGTCCCGTATACTTTGCCAAAGACATCTTTATTCAAGTAAATAAACGTTCTGCGTAGCGCGCTCATAACGGACATTGCCCGCGCAGCGACTTTAGAACACTGCATGGCGACGCTTAGATCGTCTTTAATGAATACACCGAGATCTTTTTGCACATTTACGGTTTTAAGTGGTTAATTGTCCAGGAGATACTGTCGTGGGGGTGCATTTGTTCTTCGCCTCGCTGATACTACGTGCATTACTGCACATTTTTAACGTTGAATTTCATGCGCCATTTCTCGCTCCATGCGTGCAAATTCTCTACGTCCTCTTGTAGTATCTTGACGTCACCTTCATCTTTTATCGCTCTCCAAAGTTTAAGATCGTCTGCAAAGAGCGCTATTTCCGATTTCACTTCCCGTACTAGGTCATTTACATAGATAATGAATGGGAGCGGCCCAAGAACTGACCCCTGTGGGACTCCACTCGTAACATGTGCCCATTCTGAGCAGTAGCCGCCCGCAGTGACTTTTTGTCGCCGTCCGTTTAGGAAACCTTGAATCCAGTTCAAAAGCTTTCCTCTTTTCCCTACTTCTGATAACTTTTGAATAAGGCGCTTATGTGGGACGCAATCGAACGCCTTGCTGAAGTCGAAGTAAATGACATCAACTGGATATCCTTTATCCATGGCCTTTGACCAATGTTCAAGTGATGAAAGCAGGTTTGTGAGGCAGGACCTCTTTTCGCAGAAGTCAATTTGAACTAAGGCGATGTGACAGCGGAAAGTATTGAGTGATGTAATTGATTTTTTAACTAACTTTTCCATCAGTTTGCAGCAAATGCATATCAAAGTAACCGGCCGGTAGTTGGTGGGACATAGCCGTGATCCTCCCTCGTGGATAGGTACGACGTTTGCCAACTTCCATGTGTCAGGTAGTTTGCCAGCTTCCAGCGATTTCCGGAAGATTACAGAAATTGGCTTTACTAATTCTTCAGCTAGCTGACGCAGGAGTACACCTGCGATCTCATCCGGTCCAGATGACTTGGCCGGATCCAGCTTATTAAGCTCTTCTAAAACTAACTGCGGAGTAAAAAACACTGTGCTTATAAGTGGTTGGTTGGCGGGCAGTGGAAGAGAACAGGACTGGAGGGGTGGTTCCGTGGTGTCAACACATTGGAAAAACTCGGAAAGAAGCTCGGCTCTTTGAAAGCCATCGCTCACATTTCGGAGGAACAGCAAAATAAAGAATCGGTTCTGTTCACATTATAATGCCCACACAGTTTTTCTTCGATTGCTAACAAGCCAACTGATGGGCTCGTTTAAAAAGGAGATTGGGGCAAAGAAATGCATGTGCAGAAACAAAGAAAACGGAATTACTAGGGGCATGGTATAGGGACAGGGGGAGTAATAAAGGATGATTTATGGATGTTGCGAGAGCATCAATAAGATATCGGTTTGAACAAGAACCAGCAGTGAAGAGAGAGCAAACGCCAGTCTGGAGCCCAAGCAACGGGAGTCGATGACTAGTAACTGGTAGCCTCGGCGTACGAAATATCAATTTTAACCCGAAAAGGTCGTTAGAATAAGTAGTCCACGAATATTTTTTGATTTCTTACGACCTTGTTCCAGGTACTTTGTCGTCCACAGACAACGAAAATTTTCCGGTCTGTTTAAACTTCCTTCATAACTCTTAAAATGGAGAAGACGATACATAATTCTAAGGAGGAAATGACATATCTGCGAAGTGTGTATGTTGTTCAGTCAGCAAATGAATTTCAATAGTACCAAAAATTCAAAAAAAATGACATATGCGCACATTGTTTCCCTAGGTATGGCTAGCGTTGGCATAAAAGGCAGTGTCCGCAGCGCTTAACACAAGAGTAGGTCTTTCTTTTGTTCGAAAGGGAGATTTAAGTAGTTCACGCACTTTGTCATTGCTTTGTAGTCCAGGCAGGATCAGCAACATTCTGTGTACAAAACCAAAAGGTGCTTCTTAAGCCGGATTAAGAACCCATTGAAAGACGCAATATAAGGGAGTTCTGGACAGAATTGGAGAAAAGGCCAGAAGAGGGGAATTATGGTTAAAGTGAGAGAAGAAAAGATAATGCACATCAGGCGATCTTTCCTCTGGCCTGTCTTTTTCCATCATATCCACAGAAGCATGACTTCCTTAAACTAACGGGGAAGTGAAGTATCTCACAGAGGGTGTTCGCTGTTTGGAAGAAACAGAGAAGGCCGATAATGATGGGTCGTTGTCTGTGTTAGCTGTAATCTAGCCGCGATTTCCAAGCAACATCCCACGACTGAGGAAGTGGAATTTTATAATTAACCATATCTACTAAGTAGGCGCGGTCACTGGAATCTTCAGCTGTGTACTGTCCCCTAAACGAGATTCTCGAACATAATGACCTTTATCCGAAAGGAACCAAATAAGACCTGTTTGAGCATGGATATTCTTAGCGTTGGCTGCGTTAAGGCTCCCAATATTAACTAGCAAGATTGGACTGTTTTGGGTCCACCATTTACATTCGGTCGTCATTTGCTTAAATGGCAGGGCAAAGTGACTTCTCCTGAATGGGACTCCTGAAAATACGTGTTATGGAAGAACATAATTCAAATCGCCCCGACTCATGTTTATGCAAGATCAGGAGAGTGTGATAGGTCTATAAAATCTCTCGTCCATGGGTGCTAGTGATCACACTGCAATGTCCTTCGAGTATTCCATGTTCCCTAAGCTTGACTCGTCTAACCAGTTAGAAACTGACATATGGAAAGAGAAACGTTTGCAGCATATGAAAGCAAATCTGAGCAACGTCCCGGGCAAAAACATTGCGGTAAACAGTTAACAAATACTGGAACGCGTTCAGTTCGCTGCTTAAAACAATCCTTAATCGAAGTTGTTCGTTCAGATGAACGAAAACGAGCAACCGCCAGCTATGGATAAACCACGATCTTCGAATTGCGTTTGGAAGAAAAAATAAGGTGTAGAAGCGTTTTCGAATAACGCGAAGTATTGAAGTTGTCATTCAATTTATTACGGGGATGAGACTTTCGTCCTTCAGCTCCCCATTCCTACTCGAAAAAAATGATGGAAACAGCTGTTACATCGGTAGTTCTGAAAATTCAGAAGTTACCGGTATTTGTGAGCCAGGCGCAAGCTGCCGCCCTTCACACAGTCGTGATTATATGTACTGTAGTTTCTCAGCAAATAAACGTCTTGTCTGCATTTAAAAGGCTTAAATGTTTCGGAAAGAATCACCGCGTCACGGAGTCCGTTGCCTGCTCCAATGACCCTCTGCGAGAAGGCGTCCCTTCAGACTTCTATTTGGGCCAGCTTCCTCTGAGGTTTCAAAAGGTGACCACGCAGACGGTCCCTCTCGGCAAATTCGAAGAAGTCGTCAAAGTCTAGGGCACACTCACTGTCCCTGACAATCCGGGAGGTTTGAATGAGATCGCCTCACAGTTATCTTCGATTCGGAGGACGGAGGTTTAATTCAGCCAGTCTAGTTTCGTGAGGCAGATGATCAAGATTCGTGACCTTCATCGTGGTCGTCACCTG